GGTCTCCTGGCTGGATGCACAGACCTGGAACCCTCTCAGATCCAATGTGAAGGACCCGTTTAGTCCTTCCTGAGCCCACCAGCAGGCTCCAGACCTTTCCATATTGTTGGCCTATTCATTTACACACCAAACTGCCTTGGCTACCAAGCCTGAGCTCCTCTCACTCCCTTTGTGCCTCCACCTCCCACAGCTCTGCCAGGACCCCCCGCAGCTGCTCCTGAAGCAGAAACCAGCCTTGGTCTGAGCCACCCACCTGCAGAGAGCTGGTGACTACAGCTGGGTGGGACATTTCTTCTATATCCTATTAAAGAAATACTCATAATTTCAGAAACATTCCTTTTCTGCTTCGGGCTGAACTGAGATCTTCAGGAAACCACAGTGGGGATGGAGAGGAGAGAAAGACACAACCAAGATCAGCCACCATGTCCCCAGGCATTGTCCCACTCACCTCAGCTGCTGGGATAAAGCCTCCAACGTCCCTCCCAGTGCTGGAAATATTGAGCTTCCAGCTGTTTTCAGGTGGAATATTCTCCATTTTATTCTGGTTTATTATTTATTGCTTACGACAATATCCAGAAATTCCATCAGGGAGCCACAAAATCTTTCCCAGTGAAAAAAACTAATCCAAAGTAGGAATTTCTCCTTCAAATTATTTAACTTAATGAACTTATTTTCCAAGCAGCTCCAGGTGGGAGCCTTGTCCCTTCCCAGGCCACTGGGCTTATGGAGAGGTCAGTGAAGAGTTGTGCTCCTTGCCCTGGCATGATGACCATCATAGCAGGTCCTGAGCATCTCCCAAGGATCCTCATCACCTTTGGGCAGAAGCAGCCTGGAATGATTTTCATGAGTGCACTTCTCCCTTGTTGCTAAGCTCTCCTGGCTGCTACTGCCACCCTTGGAAGCGAGAGGTGAAGAGGAGGATTCCATCTCCCAGAGAAAAGGAAGCCACATCCCAACCTGGAGCAGCTTTCCAAGGGTGAGAGGCAGCAGCTGAAGGCAAAGGCACAGAAGGAAGAATGGGAAGATGTTGAGGTGGCCGAGGGTCCGGTGGGGTTTTTATTGGCACCAGGAATTTTTGGAAACAATGAAGTGTTTGGTGATGAAGCTGAGCTGATTCATTTCCTGCAGGAGCAAGTCCAGTCGTGGCCCAGCAGCTGAATTCAAAACCTCCATCCTTGCTCTTTTCCAGGCCACTGCTGTTGGGATGTTGCTCCTCAAGAGGGACCACTCGTCCCCAGGATGCTCTGCTCCAACCCACACTCCCTGGGGAGAAGCAGTTGGGGTCATCTCCGTCCTCCTGGAACAGGGAGTGCCCAGACAGCTCCCCAGAACAGGGATTTGTTCTGCAGAGTCAGCAAGGAAGATGTTCTAGGAGTGATCCTCATGAGAAGCAATCCCTGGCCACCCCCTGCTGTGTGTGGGAGAGAGAACCTGGCAAGGGGAGAAGGGAAGAAAGAAGAGAGGAGGAGAGAGATTTCAGTTGGAAGGGCTCTTCAGTCATCATCTCATCCCAGTGCCAGCCCAGGTGCAGTCTGGAGGTGTCTGGGTTGAACAGGAGAAGGGGCTGTGGACCCTGCAGCCTGGGAAGGTGCTGCTGGAAAGGCAGATCAGTTCTCTCCACCAGCATCTCCTGGCGAGGGCTGAAGAAATGCCCATCCTGGACTTCCCAAGTTTTAACTTGTTGTTGACTGGTTTTAGACCTTGATCTTTCCCTCCTCAGCTCTGCCCATCATTCACCTGCCCCTTTCTCCTGCCTCTTCCCCTGGTACTTCCCTAGAACACAGCCCCTGCTGCCTCCTCCTCGTTTTCTGCTCCGAGTTTGGAGGGAAAGGAAAGGAGCAGCAGAAGGGGAAGAAAAAAAAACAGACCAGGAAAGCCACATGTCCTGGAGAATCACCTCTTCTCCTCACACCACATGCCCCATCCCTGGAAACACCCCAGCTCAGGTTGGACAGGGCTCTGAGCAGCCTGATCCAGGTGCAGATGTCCCTGCTCACTGCAGGGGGTTGGACTGGGTGGCCTTGGAAGGTCCCTTCCCACCCAAACCATTGGATGATTCCCTGAATGATGCTTTTAGTTGAAGCTAGTAAAAAAACAAAACACCCTAAGTAATGAGAAGGAGGAATAAACAGTTCGTTTTTGACAACCAGAGGGTCCAAAACTGTTTGCCAAGGTGATGCCCCCCTCGGGAAGCAGCTCCTGCCCAGCGGGCCCGGAGCATCCTGAGGGGCAGAGACTGGAGGTGCCCAGACCCCCCCCGGCACCTGGGGGGCGGTGGGCACAGGAGGACCCCCGGGATCACACTGTGGGGACCCCCCCGGGCTCCCC